AATGGGCTAGTCAAGGAAACTTTTCAATCTGAACAAAATGGGAGATCTCACGGATCCATCCAAATTGAAGATTTGGCCGAAAATTCCGATCAAAGCCCAGCTGTTGGAAATCATGCTGAAAGCTCATTGGATGAGAACATTGATCATGGCTCACCGGAAGACTTGAGTCAAGAACCTCCGGCAACCACCTTCCCAAATGAAGAACCGGCCTACCAGGTACCAAATGAAGAGACGAGCACCGAAACCGTGGAGACTAGGACCAGAATAAATATCACACAGCCAAAGCATCTTAACGATTTCATTGTGAAGCTCCCCCCATCGGTCGACCATGCACAACCCACACCTAATCAAGGAACCTCAACGGTACACCCTATCGCTAATATCCTTTCATATGATAAGTTCTCTAATTCTCACAAGGCGTTTCTAGCGGCCATCACTTCAAATGATGAGCCAAAATCCTTCAAACAAGCCATGCATGATGATAAATGGAAAGAAGCCATGAAGAAAGAGATACGAGCGCTTGAAGAAAATAGGACATGGACTCTCGAAATGTTACCTGAAGGGAAACGTGCCATAGACTCCAAGTGGGTCTATAAGATAAAATACAAGCCCAACGGAGAAATCGAGAGATACAAAGTCCGTCTTGTTGCCAAAGGGTTCACGCAAATGGAGGGAGTAGATTTTCATGACACTTTTGCCCCGGTTGCAAAGTTGGTTACTATTAGAACGTTACTAGCTGTGGCTTCCAAAAGAGATTGGATTGTTCACCAGCTCGACGTAAATAACGTGTTCTTACATGGAGATTTGAACGAAGAAGTTTACATGAAAATTCCACAAGGCTTCTTCAAGGAAAATGAAACCCAGGTTTGTCGACTCTGGAAGTCTCTGTACGGCTTAAAACAATCCTCACGAAATTGGTATCAAAAGTTCACTACCGTTCTGCTTCCACTTGGTTTCAAACAATCTAAGGCGGATCATTCTCTTTTCACATACAAACAACAAAACGCCTTTGTGGCAGCACTCATCTATGTAGATGATGTTATCATTGTGGGGAATGATCCAGGTAAAAATACAACAAACCAAGACCCATCTTGACGAGAAATTTAGCATTAAAGATCTTGGTGAGCTAAAGTATTTCCTTGGAATTGAAGTAGTGCGAACGCGCGATGGACTTGTCTTAAGTCAAAGGAAATATACTTTAGACATTTTGGAAGATTCTGGGATGCAAGGTTGTCGACCCAGTACCTTTCCTATGGAGCAAAACTTGAAGTTGGATAAAGGTGACGAGGAGCCACAAGTCGATGCTAACCAATACCGACGGATGGTAGGAAGATTGTTGTACTTGCAAGCTACTAGACCAGACATTGCATACTCTGTAAACGTTCTAAGTCAATTTGTCGTCGATCCACGACAAAACCATATGGATGCAGCAACTAGAGTTTTACGATATCTTAAAGCTACCCCGGGACAAGGCATTCTGCTACCAGTGGCACCGAACTCGTTGCTTACTATAACTCTGACTGGCTCGGTTGTCCCTATACCAGGCGATCTAGAACGGGGTATCTTTTTCTTTTAGGTGGTGCTCCTATATCATGGAAATCTAAGAAGCAGTCTATGGTATCTTGCTCTTCGGCGGAGGCAGAATATAGAGCCATGGCTTCCACAGTTAGTGAGATCTTATGGATGCGTTGGCTTCTCAAGGAGCTAGAAATAAATCCCACCGGTCCAACACCTTTGTTTTGTGATAACCAACCAGCCCGACTCATTGCTAATAACTCGGTGTTTCATGAACGAACTAAACATGTTGAAATGGACTGCTATTTTGTTCGAGAAAGAGTAGAGATACAAGAAATTCAGCCCATAGACATTATTTCCAAAATGCAGATCGTGGACTTATTCACAAAGGCGTTGGGAGCGCAACAATTACGATGCCTACTCGACAAGTTGGGCTTGAAAGATTTACATGCTCCACCTTGAGGGGGAGTAAAGGATTCCTTTAAATCCATTCCTTATCTCCTAGATTAATATTATCTCTTAGATCACTTATCTCCTAGATTAATATTATCTCCTACTTTTTAGGGTCTTCCTTATTTTTTCTATATTCCTTGTATTTATATCATTGTCTTCTTTGTCAATGATGATAATAAAATATACCACCAAATTTGGTACCATTGAATTTCTAGATATATTTCTCTGTTTATTTATCAACATGGTCTTTCCTTAGCATATCTGCTTATTTATGTTGATTATATTGTTATCATAGCTTCTTCCTAACATTTATTGCAACATGTTATCAAGTCTCTTAGCAGAGAATTTTCCATGACTGACTTGAGCCCTCTCAACTACTTCCTCGGAATCTCAGTTATCAAATCCAAAGCCAATCTCTTTCTATATCAGAAAAAGTTTGCCACAAAGATTCTTAAGTGTGTCAATATTCCCAAGTATAGGGGTATTGCCAACGCTATGATTGAGACATGTTGGCTTCAGAACCTCCTCCTTGAACTCCATCATCCCCCACACTACAACACAATTGGGTTTATAGGATACCGCCAATTTTTAAGCGTCCTAATAGACCACTTTATAGGACTTAAATTTTAGGACCAAAATATAAAGCATCCTATCTAAAGGCATTGTAATAAGTTGATAAGACGCTTTTGAGCGTCTTAAAACAAGCTTTATAACACCTTTAATACGAGGCGTTGGATTAACAAATTTTGTGGAACGCTTTTGAGAAAGTGTCCTATATACTCCTCTTTTTATAGGACACTTGTTTTTATAGGACGGTTTTTCAAATAGTGTCCTATAAAATTGCTAATGAGACGTTTTGTATTAAAAGTGTCCTAAAAAGCTTGTTAAGATACCCAAAACCGTCTTATAAACTTATACCAACGCCATTACATAAGACGCTTTAATTTTTTGGTCCTAAAAATTAAGTCCTATAAAGCGGTCTATTAGGACGCTTAAATTTTTTTGACGTCCTGTAAACCCAATCTTGTTGTAGTGGGCCACTAAGGCAACTATCGTATATTGTGACAATGCCAACGTTGTCTACCTATCAACCACCTGATCCAACATTAACCAAGTACATCGAGATTGATATCCTTTTTATTCCAAATCAGGTTTCCTTGGGTCGTGTCTGGGTCCCCCACGTCCCGTCTACCTTGCAATATGCTGACATCTTCACCAAAGGACTCCCATCACCCCCTCTTCATTGATTTTCGCTCCGGCTTAAACATTCGACCTCAGTCTCCCATTCTAACTGCATGGTGTATTGGTGTATATAGTTTTGTTGTATTTGTATTTTTGCGAGACCCATTATTTTGTATGTGTTGCTTCAGCAACTACAAAAATATTGAGTTTATAAGACATCAAAATTGTATGAGTATCCTAATAAACTATTTTATAGGACCAAACGTTAAAGTGTCCTACCTAAAGGTTTTGCAATAGGCTTATAAGATGTTCATTTTCCAAAAAATAGGCTTATAAGATGTTTGTGAACGTTTTTACAAGTTTTTACAATACATTTAGAATAAAACATCCTTTTAGCTATATTATAGGACAATTTTGAGAAGTGTCCTATAAACATTTTTTTTTTACAGAACAATTGTTTTTATACGACACTTTTTCAAATAATGTCCTATAAAATAGCTAATACGACATTCTATTTTAAGAGTGTCCTAAAAAACTTGTTAGGACGCTTAAAACGTCATATAAACCTATTGCAATATGTTTAGACATGATATTTTAAAACGTGTGTTCCTATAAACTTGTGTTCCTATAAACTTGTTATATAAAATAGTTTATTGAGACAGTTACATGATTTTAACATCTTATAAAAACCCAATTGTATTATAGGGAGTAAATTGTATTTTTCTATTTATTGTGTTGATGAGAAAGGTAACTTCATGGGAAATTGGGTAATTTCAACTACTTTTTCAACAATTCCGACCGCGTCTTCTTTATTTTAGATTAGTATTGAATTCATAAAACAGTAAAATTTGTATTTTATTTAAATTTTTTGGTGATAAACTTTGAATTCAGTTTGGAAATATAGTTTATGTTTTATAATGCATATAGTTACGAAATTAAAAACTATGGATGGTTACCGATCGCAAACCCTAAAGTCGGGTGTCGGTGTCAGTGTCAGTGTCGGTGTCGCAAACACTTTAATTTGTGCGTCAACATTCATGTTGTTGGCCATATATATACTGTTCATCTCCAATTTGTCTCTTCGAGTAATCCGTCTGCCAATATGTTCACCCAATCTTATTTTCGAGGCAACTTCAAGCCTTCAATGCTCTTCTTTCCCAACTCAATTTGGTCTCTCATAAACCATCTTGAGTTTTAGGGTGATGCTGATTAATGCTATAATTACATCCATATTCTCTACTATAAAGAGTAGTTTTGTTATATCCTACGCATAAATAGCTCTCTTTTCTCATAGTAATTTATGTTCATTGATATAGATACAAGGGATCTTCATCTCCATTCCGACATTATGGTTCACCTCAACCTCCATCAATCCTAACATATATATTCAAAACAGAAAATGGCCTCCCAACATGTCTTATGCGCTTGGGATGCTTGTAATTAGCTGCCATGGATACATGGAATTCGATCTAAAGAAAAAAATATATGAAAAAGTAGGGCAGTTTAAGATCTTTCCATCAATAGATACAAATGGGTAAGGGACTCAACCCATTTGCTCTTTCTGTCTTCATTTTTCCTACTCTTTAACTCAGGCAATACCGCGGCAGGAGCAAGAGGAAGAAAGCAAAGAGAAGACAATCTTCCGTTACCACTTTCTGGATGCCGGTAAGGGCTCTCGATTGTCATCCCATGTTCTCTAATAACAAAAAAAAGGAAATAAAATTACAAGCAAAAATGTTCATTATTTGAAGAAAATAATGCTTCCTTGCTTTGTGTAAATATAATCGATTCTTAACATCTCTATGGTTCATTACGATGACCAAAAGAGGACGATTGAAGAGGATTTTGCCTTAGCTTTCGTAGCCTTTGTATCTCGACTTCCTGACCTCTTCTCGAATAATTAGTAGTGCTGAAACAAAGGCTTTATCAACGTTTGGAGACAAAGCCACTGTAAACTTTTCTTCTGCTTTCACTGTTTTCTGATGTGTTACTTGAATATTCAGCTGCAATGTAATAAAGTAAAAATATGAACTGGTCATTAGAATTAAATACCCATATCGAGTTGCTAATTCTCTTTCATACTGTCGCAAAGTTCCATCGTGCTAAGAGTAATCAATCATCATTAAGCGAATAAACACACCTGGGCAAGAACGGTAACTTTATCTGAAGCATATATTACGGATGATCCATCCCTGTAACTGTCATAAACTCTGTAATTGAATGTGCTTTCGGTCATATTAGAAGTCATGAAAACATCATATCGCAGCGACTTGAAGCCTCTTGTCTTCTTGACACTGAAAAGTCTTTGGTCACTGCTATCTCCCCTGTAAGCTTGACGTCTTCTATGCATAGTGATGTGCTGCATTTACATATTAAGTCAGAACCAACCATCGAAACGTTGTTAGCGCAGTACTATAATTCCCTTGTTAGTAATTGTGTAACAGTGACATACTTAGCAATGGAAAGTAGTAGTTGCCTATTTCACTTACTTTGTAATCTGCCTATTTGGGTTGCACCTTTGTACATAATGATTCTTAGATCACAACAATTAAACATCTGTGATTTTATATCTAATGATGAGTATTCGATAATTCTCTTTTTTATCCAGAATATGATCATATATTTCTCTTTTATATCCATCTGACGAAAAAAATTAGTATTTACTTTAAAACAGAAAAAATTACCTTAGTTGTGAAGGAGATGACAGGTTCATCTGAGTCATCTAACATAACCCGACGGCCATTCTTCTTTTTACTTGCTTTAAATAACACATGTCCATCCTCATCGCTGATCTTGAACTTATCCTCCACCTGACCGTTCTTCTCGAATGTTAATGTCATAGGATAGTTGGAGCAATATTTCTGGTCTACAATCACGATCGGATATTCAGGTTGCTTGAACACCCGATCAGGGGTTCCTTTTCTGGAATCGTCATCTGATGAATAACATGGGCTAGACATTGAGTAGCCTGAGCTAGACTTTGAGATGGTTACGATCAGCCCAGATATTCAATGATTACCATCACAGGAGCTACGGGTTAACAAGCATTAGATCGTTGGGTGGTTGTTTACGGAATTGATTGGTTACTAGAGACAATGTTGATAATGAATCGTCATGCATGCTTCAATTATAAGATGAAGGTCCGATCTTAACGGGTTTTCATCAATTTTTTTGGCCACTCTTAATTAGTTTGTGGTTTGTGATTGACTTGATCAAACCAATATGGTTTTCCTCAATCGTTCCATAAGAACTATAGCCATTTATTTCTTTTACTAAAAATAGATTAGTGAAATTAAGTTGTAACCCATAAACAATTATTATTCTCTATTTCAAGTGAAATGTTTACATCATGTAATTAGACTCGTATCATTTCCCCATTAAAATTGAATGGAATTTGAAAACTTGCCGGAAAATTGAGTGAAATTTAAGAACTTGTTGGGAAATTTGATTTTGTTGGAATTGTATGTAATAAGTACAAGGGCTAACCATGTCATTTTTTCATCCTAGATGTGGGTTTAAACTATTGGATTCTTTTGTTATTTTGTCACCAACACTTGGAGTGAATGAATTGATTTCATCTCTCCATTATTAATTCATTATTTGTCACATGACATCAAAGCATAGGTATGTATTTATAGTTATTGCAAATTAATTGATTCCAATATTCGATTTTAGCTAGGTTTATATCAACTCGAATCAATCTTTATTTTTCTTGTTTAACATTGATTACAAGTTAAACCATTAGACTTAGTTCTTATGATAGCTTGATACCTTGGTTAATCAGTTGAATCACTACTGTTATCGAAACCCTATCAAAGGGCTGCCTTCGATCCAAAACCGTGCAACACCATTCTTTACTTTGATTTGCTATTTTATCATAGTCCGCATGCAAACCCGTTCTCGCTTTTCACAAAACATGGCAAACTCAATATCCCAAGCATTTGTACACCACATACACATTTATGTCATTCTGGATGGACATAATGACATTTTTTTGGAGTCAGCACATCGCACGGTATCTGAAATCAAGGAGGATACACAGTTACCGGAACTTTGTGTGCTCCAGTTATAGGAACAAATAAGGATGCTACCACTTTACTATGCCTGCTCATCAATCGGGCATCCATAATGCTGAAATTGTTGAGAATTTTTGGAAATATTACCAGAATAGAATTTCTTTCCCGTATTTCAAATACTTCGTACAATACCCAAAAAATTATTGGGTGTTCTTTTAATGGTTTTAGTACCTGCGAGATTATTAACAGTTAGAATTCACAAGAAATTTTTCGATTTCTTGCAGAAGGAGATGAGCCCTATAAAAAAATTCAAATGAATATTCATCATCTTCCTTTGGCTGTGTGGCATGTATTTCCACGGTGCTTGTCCCTAGGAGTATTTATTAAGATTCTTTCTCCATGAGTGTCATAATTGGGGACAGGGTATATTCGTTATACCCTTCGTGACTCATTTAGGAATAATCAATTCTTGATAAATTTAGTAGATCTTTTTACAAGATTTGAACGACTGTCCCATATCAATGGAGCAATGACAAGTGAAAGGGACCCCAAACCTAAAATAGGTCCAAGGCATAAGTTTCAAATAATCCCAGTAAAATACACTTTAAGTATTTTATTATTTTTCTTTCTTGTTCTCTTGTTTTAGAGAGTAGACATATATGAGCTAAAGATCTGAGAGTGTGGGTATAATTGGGGGAGGCTTGTGAGATTATAATTGTGTGATTGTAACAATTTTTCACAGAGTGGATTTTCTCTCTATAGGCCCATGGTTTTCCTCAGGTTTTGGAATTTCTACATTAATTCATGTCTTCTTCTTTTCTCTATAATTATTCATTGCTTGGGTCGTTGGGTAACTTTGAGGCCAATTTCCTAACAAGTGGTATTAGAGCTCCAGGTTGGAGGAGGTTTCGGTTAAAGGGTTCTTATTATGTTATTTAGTTGCAGCTTTGTCTGATCTTCCACCTCATAAAGGAACTGTCTCTTGGTCGTAATGGAGGAGGTCTCAGGTTAGAGGGTTCATAATATTACGTGTATGCTCAAAAGCCAATCATTGGATGATTCTGTTTGGACATTGTTTCATGTTATTCATTTATGAAATGCATTGCCCAATTTTTATGTTTACATCCTATTCCGCATTATATCTAAACGTAATAATAACCATAGAATAATGTATTTTAAAATGTCCCTAATCAAGTATTAATTTGGTGTAGATTAAATTAATACGGCACGACTAGTATATATAGGGATTCGTATGGAGATGCAGAATCCACATATGGGTACAAGATGGGATGTTGTGTGTACAAGAGTTGACTTGCTAGAACGTTTCATTAGACGTCATATGAGTGTACACATTTCTCATGTGGTCATTGTACAGTTAGTCCTTTGACTTGAGATCATGGAGTTTGTTTGTGTTGATCCAAACTCTCTCAGTGATTTGATGATAATGTTTTATACTTAGTGAATATACTAAATTTTTTGTTTTCCTCGGTTTCAACGATCATCACTGAGTTTGTTTAGTGATCGTTGAACATGTAGTGTAACAGCCTTAGAACTTAAGTAATCCTTAAAGACAAAACTCAAAGAAACGTTCAGCAATGTCGAAGATCGAGCTGAAGAGAGAAACTAGTCTATTCATGATCTGAAGCAGACATTCAATGATGACAAGACTGTCTACAACAAAGTGTGAAATTCGACCAAGACTCAGCGATAGCTGAAGAGTCCTCATCGATTCCTCACTATCATTGATCAAAGATTCTTGCACAACAAGATCAGTTCTTTTTCTTCTCTTCTTTGCATAAAGAACATGCCCATTCTTTCCACAGAAAGGTACATGTACAGATTTGTTTTATTGTGTCCAAACGTGCTTACCAACTACGTGAAGATCATTATTCATATGCGGCCAAATGCCTGCATATCTGAAGAACAAGGACAAGCATTCCACTCATCTTTTGCCACATGGGTAGTACTTTCTGAAGCGCATTTAATGTGATGAGTATAAATAGCTGAGAGGAGTCTTTTTCTCACTAGATCTCACTCTAGCACACCCCTTCTTCTTTCTTCTTATCTCTTTCTTGTGCAAATCTGCCTATAGATTCTCAAAGACTGTTTAGACTAGGTTTTTCTTACCTTATTTTATTTCGCAACAATCTGTAAATTCTTGTATTGATCTTCTTATATCAATAAAAGAATATAAAAGTGAAATTTTTGTATTTGTATTCAACCCCCCTTCTACAAACTGTTAAACCTTTGAACTCTTGTAGAACCCTTATTAGGACCAACACGTGTTACTAGAATAGTGTTTTCTTTTTTTTTTCTTAAGAATCTTTCACTTGCTATTTTCAAAAATGACTTTGGAAAACATAAACACAAACTATCACGACAATGAATCTCTTGCTAAACCTCCTAGATTTAGCAAGGACAACTTCAGTTTCTAGAAAAATCGTATGTCTGTTTCCTAAAGGTGTGGATCATGATATCCCTTACTACATTAAAAATGGAACCAATGTTCTATTTGCAATCTCTTCTGCAGTTCCTGCCACTACTACTACTGCTGGTATCCCTGAAAGGCAGATTTCAATACTTACTCATGAATGTAGCGATGAAGACAATATGAAAGTGGCTATCAATACTAAAGCTCAAACTATAATAGACATGACACTCCCTAATGAGGTATATCATTCTATAATGAATCTTAGAACCTCAAAATCCATATGGGTTACACTTTGTGTTCAATATGAAGGTACAAATGAAGTACAAGAGTCAAAAAAGATAAATTTAGTGCGACAATATGAAATGTTCATTTGTGGCAAAAATGAATATGTTCGTCCCTTGAGGGTCTACAAGAATTGTAAAACAGTTTGTAAAGGGGGGGGGAATGAATACAAACACAATATTTTCAAATTTAAAATATATATTGATAAAGAAGATAAATACAAATTTTACAAGATTGTTTGCGGAAAGATAAGGTGATAAAAACCTATCTAAACAATCTTTAGTTACATACTAAATCTTAGCAAATACAAGAAAAGAAATGATGTAGAGAAGATCCTTTACTTAAGCTAGAAAATGCTTGAAGTAAGAATTAGGGTTAGAGAGTGAGTTTCACGCACTCTGCATGGAGAATGAACACTTCTATTTATACCCGGTACATTAAATGTTCATTTAATGCAATATGGTAGTGTTAGAGTGCGTGTCAAGCCTTAAGAGGAAGGCTTGTCCTTTGCTACAGTGAATAGTACAAAAATCACTATTTATTAGCAAAACATCCTTACCTAAAGTTGGTGGACAATAGAGTCGACTAGTCGGCTCCGTACCATACCAACTTTCATAAGGGTATGGTGTTTGTCCTTTGTGTGCATAAGGACAAGACAACAACAATCATGCTAATCAAGCTTCCTTTGATCGCTGAATACTGGAATGACCTGAAGGTCTCTTCATCATTCGCTGAAGCTGGAGCAGTCTTCACACATATGTAGACAGGCTTGTAATCACTGAATACCGCTTCAGATCACGTACTCGCCAGTCTCTAATCTTCAGTTTGAGTCTTCCACATTTGCTGAAGGTTATTTGGTGTGAGTGTACTATTCACTGACTTATAGATTGTCAGTGAATGTGAAAAGTAACACTGGAACTCATAGACTTGTGTTCCTATTACTTTTTTCAGGAATCTTTTTCAGTGAAGTACATGGAATACTCATTTTATTAATCATGAGAAATATTACAAGTATTACAGTACATGTCTAGTGTTTACAGATTATAAGTACAATCACTGAAAGTAGACATAGTACAAGAAGTTACAAGGAAAAGTGGATTGTTGTTACAAAGAGAACTAGAACACTTAGAACTATGTAACCAGGTACATCTTCACCAAGGTTTCTTCGACGTAGAAATTCCCTTCGTATCTTCAGATTTACGACTTTTACAGGCATGCTATCATCTATCCAGAGCAAGAGGTAAACCAGATGACCCATTGGACATAGATGTAGCTCTGACATTCTCTGAAATCTGAGTTCACCTTCATAGTCAAGGAAACTCCTAACTTAGGTTTAAAATGCACAGAGTTGGGTGTATAGCCCTTATCTGGCAAGTCAAGATTCAGCATAGAAATGTCTGTACTCTAATGACCCTTCAAGATTTCATCTAGGGAGAACCTTGTTTCATGTTCGTTCCTTATGAATGGTCCATCATTAGGATCAGAGAGCTTGAGTTTCTTCTTCCCACTTTTCTTCAGAGATGGCCTGTCAGGGACCTAGACATACCTGGACATCCTTTTGATGAGCTCGCTGATGGTGTCCTCGATAAGTGTCTTGTATCTCGACTTGGATCGCTGAATAGGTTGTCTGATCTCCATCCGTTTGTTGTATCCATAACGGCCAAGGTAGGAAGGATACTCGGTAACGGCATCAAGATTGTCCCAGGTGATGAGCATTGAGACCAGCGTTCCACCTTCTTTAGAACGTCCGCTGATGTTGACGCTGATAATTGGGCGGGGACTGATTCTCTTTTTCAGCTTTGCTTCGTTCCATCGCTTGTCCTATTCCGCTAGCTTCAAGTTCTTCTCATCCTCAGCTTCTACAATAGAAAGAAGTTTAGCCTGGGCTTGGACAACATTCACCTTTTTCTTGGACTTCTTCTTGAGAATGACCTTTTCAGCTAGTGACTTGGCCAGTTTCAAGCTGTCTTCAGTCTGCTTCTTTTGAAGCTCTAGCTCTTCTTCAGCCCTTAATTCCTCGAGTCTTTCTGCTTCAGACAGGAAGTCAAACTCACCACCACTAGAGGTACGAAAAGGGATTTTTACTCTAGTCTGGTCAAGTGACTCCTTCAGCTGAGACATCTGCTGGTCGGTAGGAGCACAAAAGATGGTTGATCAGGTACCCGCTCCAGTTGACTGCAGGTTGTTGATGGAATATGAAGTTGATAGTTTGAAGTAATCACTATCTGAGGTAGAGTCTTCAACCAAAGGTTGTTGAGGGATATTGAACAATACCTTCAAGTTTCCTTCTTTAGCGACCGCCTTGCCTTTCGACTTGGGGTCATGGTTCCCAGATGGAGTAGATTCACCTTGCCTTTTCTCCCCCTGGGATGCAGAATCCCTGAGAGCAACTCCCTTG